AACAAATATATGGAAATAACGAATATGTGGTAATTAATATAGAGAATTTTATTTAAAAAATATAGAAAATATTTGAAAATATCTTTTTTTCTTTTCAATAATACTAGATTTTTTATCAGCGTCAAAAGCGGTATTAAAATATTCAAAAACAATCATGATTATTTTTAATAGATAGGAGAAATGAAAAATAACAAAGATAAAATATATTTATGTTTGATCAAAATTTAGTTTTATTATATGTATTCTCAATACATATCAATTTTTATGTGTTTATAAATGTTAGAATACATGTCTAAATATTAAATTCGATTAAAAACATATTTAATTATCTAATCCCACGCTTGGCGTGGGTCAAAATCTAATATTCGAGTTAATCAAAAGATTACTAAGACAATAGACAAAACTTCCGAAAAATATATTATTACATATACAGATATATGCGCCATATATTGAGAACGATATAGCTTGAGAAATGAATTTGATGATGTTTTCCGAAGTAAAGCCTTACTCGCTAACGAAAATTTAAACCCGTTATTTTCTTCTCCACATACGCTTTTCTTTTGATGCGAATTGTGTGTAGAGCTAGCAATTCTTGACTAAAGCTCGTAATTGCACCGCGGAATAAAACCCAATGCTTCCGTTTGAAGTTTTGTTTCTACAATTATATACCAATGATTTCGTTTCCAAGTCCTTTTATGAGGGTTTGGCTTTGACTTTGTCCTCCTTGAATTCAATACATGAAATTGCTCCTGATTATTGATGATGATTTTCTCCCTTCTTCTCTTTTCTTCCGACAATTCGTGAAATGGTCCTAAACATTCAAGTTGGAGAGAAGTCGTCCAATTGATGAATAGAGATTTGTCAAACCATTGTTGATACTTCTCGTGATGATCGGTCAATAGATGAAGCGCTCCATACACTATGCCGAGACTAGTAATTCCAGGATCCCATATCCAATCATGAAATTGCACTTTCGATTTGAAAAAATCTGATGCAAATCTGATATTGTAGAGGAAACGAAACGATTCATGTTTGAATCGACAAGAGTCGTATGAAGAGATCTTCAACGGAATGAAACTGACACAATTGCTTATGGACGATCGCAGGAGCTTTGCCGGAAAAGCACCCTCTCGATGAGAGAGACAAGAGAAAAAACATTGGAGTAATTGATTCAACAAAGAAATCAACATAAAAATCATCATGCAATGATTTATTTGTACTACGAAGTAGAAAGAAGAAAGGGAAGAGTACGGCCGACGTCGGAGCCGACACCGGCCAGAGAGATCTGGTGGAAGCGGTGGTTTGGTTGTGATCGTCGAAGAGATCACTTGGGAGAGAAGACGGTTACGTTTCTTGTGGCGATTCCTTTTGACTCAGTTAATTTGGTCAATTATGAAATCCTAAGACACAGTAAAACTCATGAGACAGAACATCTATACAATCGAAATGCGTTTGGTCTCTGAGTCAACTAATAAACAAAGACAAAAGTAACTAAAAATAACACAACAAACCAGTATACTAATGATATCCCCTAAATTAGCAAAGTATGATAATTAGAAATCACATAGCTTCGTCCTTTTGTGATCTATAATCAATGATTAAGAGAAGTGAGGTTTACTGAAGGAATCGAAAGAAATGATTACGGAAACTGCACAAAAACAGAAGCAATTTGCGCGCCACAAAGAGCATTTCAAGGATTCAACTCTTCGAAGAAACCATTTCGCAAAAAGAGAAGCAACTTTTCTCCTATTCGATCTTCACCATGCATTAGATTTAACAAATATATTACAATACAAAGCAGGGAGAACGAATCCTCAAGAGGTCGAGACGGCGAAGAAACACGGTTGTAACGATTCGGCAATGATAAACGAATTTATGAAGATCAATTCTGCAAAATATCAGTTTTCGATTATCAGTAACATCATTCTCAAAACACCAAAATTGAATCCAAAATCGACGAAGAATCTGGGAGTTATTTTACCTTGCATAAAATTTAGGAATCTCTTTTGGTCTTGAGAAAATAACGAAGTGACTAAAAAACCAAAAACTGAAACGTTACAATGAATTTCGTATATAAACTTGTGAAAAGAGGCGAGTCAAACGGGTTTGATGTTTTAGAGACGCGTTGATCTGGGAAGAGATGCAAAAGAAAGACGACGTTTAGATATTGATAACATCAGATCTTGTTAACCAACCAAATCTTATCCGTTAGATTACAAAAGTAAAACAAAGTTGGCCGTTGGATGGAAATTTTTTTTTCCTATAAAAAAAATGATGACGTCATCTTTTTCCAAAATCGGGTTTCCTATTATAAATAGATTCCCAAGTCATTCCAACCGCTCCCTTCTTTCTATTAAAATGCCATGTGGCAAAAGTCCCAAAAAAGGTCTTTTCAATATTTAAACAAAAAAATATGAGCGAAACAGATTTTTCAATGAGAAATTTGGTCAAATATCACACAAAAATTTATTAATTAGTTGAGTAACTATAAAAGCATGTGGTCACGATATTCTAAATATATTCTACAATATTTACCAAACTGTCCTTAGTCAGATGAATCAACGGGTGAAGTATGAAAATAATGAAAATATCAGGAAATTTAACATTAAAAAGTTTAGACGTTGGAGGTGGCTTTCATGAAGACGATCTGAGAGACGAAATAGCGGTGCATCGTCGTTGAGTGGAAGTCAGGTGGTGAGATCGTGAGAAAGGAACAAGAACTTTAGGGCCGAAATCCAGCCGTTGGGGTCGGAGGAGGTTGGGAGAAGGTTATACAGTGGAGCGGAACAAGATCTGGAAAACCTTGAGTGGGTCAAGGGAAAACGAGTTGGGAAAAGAGAAAAAGGTAACCGTCATGCGATTTGTTCCTTTAATTTTGGCTGCAAGTATAGAAATTTGATGGTAACGAAATAAGAGACCAAAGATTCGAAGATTTAATTTTTATTCTATGTGAAAGGAAACGTCTATTTACTGTACACTGTTTATAAACATATTTTATATGCCGACCACATAGACAAACATATACATTTGCCAAATATTTTTGATTTGAATCGTAATTCTAACAAAGCCGGATTTGATTTTCGTGTCCAAAACTGCAGCAGGTGATGGTGATGTACATGGAGGAGGTGAACGTGTAAGCGTGTCTGACCCTAACCCGCCTTCAACTCACCCAACGTTTACCATCGCCCAAACGCAAATGGTTTATTCTGAAGCGACAGCAACAACACATGTTAGTTTCAGAAATATTGTAATTTTGTTGTCCATTCTATTTATTGACATAAGTAGTCGACTATATTGTGGTGTTGATGACTGGTATGTATGTTATGTTATTCAATTGTTTGTATACTTAAGACACTACCGCCTCTAACACATGGCGTGGCTTGCTTGTTTAGTTGGTGTTGCAACAAATCTGATGCTAGAACTCCATGCAATTGGTCAGATTGGATTGTCTTCACTATTATGAGAAGAGGTACTCTGAACCATGGCAGATAACTATGCAATTGAGTCCTACATTGCATTCAACCCTTCAAACATATCAAATTAAGTCGGCAAACATAATAGACTAATAAAGCATTGTTGGCCCCTTGATAGTCCAGTTGTTGCAAAATTTATATGATCTCAGGTGCTATTTCTCATTGGGTCTTTCATGTATAATGTTGATTCATGTATTTTCCTAGGATGGTGTTTGTCTACGTTCTATTTGTAGGTATTGACTGTTGTCTATTTTGCATG